GAGTCTCCTGCCTCCGCCTCCCAGGTAGCTGGGACCACAGGCGCCCGCCACAACGCCCGGCTATTTTTTGGTTGCAACCGTCATTGTTGTTTGGCGGGTCCGGGCTGGGGATTCGAACCTGCCACCTTAGGTGTACGTGGCTGGCGCCTTAGCCAGTTGAGCTATAGGTGCCGAGCTGGATATTTTTAATGAAACACAGGCAGGGGCAGTGCCTGTGGCTCAGTGGGTAGGGCACCAGCCCCATATACCAAGGGTGGTGGGTTCAAGCCCGGCCCCAGCCAAACTGCAACAAAAAAATAGCCGGGCATTGTGGTGGGCGCCAGTAGTCCCAGCTACTCGGGAGGCTGAGGCAGGAGAATTGCCTAAGCCCAGGAGCTGGAGGTTGTTGTGAGCTGTGACACCACGGCACTCTAGGCGACAAAATGAGACGCTGTATCTAAAAAAAAAAAAAACAGGCAAGATGATTCGCTCCCTGATAGACAACATGCCTCCGTGTCTCTCCAGAACTTCTATGCCATGGTGGCTCCAGCACAGAATGCCTCCAGAAGGTTCTTTGTGACTTTCAACCTAATTGTTACCTTTCTGAGAGATGCTGACCAAATTGAGTAAATTTTTAGTCAGTGGTAGAATAGATCTAAGTAAATTCTTGGAGATACAACAGTCTACTGTTAAGCAGACCTAAACAGATATATGTTTTAGTTTGCAGAGTAGATGTTTTTTGTTCTATAAGTTATACAAGGCTAAGGTAGAGGCTCTTAACCCTTCAATTATTATGTCTGATATGAGGGCTTTGGGCAGTGAAGGGAGAACCTAAAGGTAAGTGGTAATGGTTAATTGCTAGGCTGTGTCGTCTTCTTTTTTTGTAATATCACATTTCTTTATGCCAAGATATTGATTTAAAATGCCTTTCAAGGAAGTTTTCAGGACCCTTGAGTATGGGGGAAAACAGTGCTGTTTTTATCATATTACAGTGATATCGTCTACAGCCTATTCAACCCATTAGACCTATTTGAAGCATTTGAGGTTTTAAAGTGAGTAGAATTATAAAAGTTCATCTAGTGCAGGGTTTTTAAACCTCAACACTGTTGACATTTGGGGCTGGATAATTCTTTGTTGTGGGGTGTTGTTTTGTGCATGGGAGAGAGTTGTGCAGTATCCCTGGCCTCTAGCCAGTAGCACATCCCCCTGTTTTAAAATGTACCTGGGGTTTCGTTTTAATCAGGTGTGGTAACAGACACACAGACAACCGCCTTGAAAGAAGAGTTTATTACTTGCAGTTCCCAAGAGCAGGAGGCACACCATGCCATGCAAGCGTACATGGGAAGCACCCAAGTCCATTAAGGGGCAGAAAAAGAAAGGGATGAGCATGGTCCAGAGCCTGTATTGTGGTTTCTGGGGGAATGAATGGGTAAAACAGGGTAGGCAAGTTGAGGGCTGGATAGTTTGGATAATTTCAACAGACTCAGGGCTATTGTCATCTGATACCTGGCCCTGGACTGGTTGGTTTATGTGTGAAAGGTATGCTCATGGGGCAGGGAATGGGGAGTAGTGAGTAGTGCTATCTCCATGAATTAGCTAGCTCTGGGAAAATTAGCAAGTCCCTCAAGATGTCAAAGCATCATAAAATTCAGAACATAAAAAACATAATACTCCCCCCTCAGTGTGACAACCAAAAACATTTCTAGATATTGCCAGGTATCCCCTAGGTGCAAAAGTGCGTGGGTTGACAAACACTGGTCTAGTCCCTACTTTCTGTTTTACAGATTAAAACAAAAGTCAGGTGACTTGCCTCAGTTATTATAGTTAGAAAAAGAATGGAGACTAGATCCCTGATTAATACCTGGCAGAGTCTAGCAGTCTTTCTGTAAAACTAGTATCAGTCTAAAATCTGTGGCTTTTTTATTATTTACAAATCCATCACCTGTTCCTTGTATGGAGAGGTTTGAATGTATTATATTCAGATCTAACTTCTGAATGTAATATATTGCAAACCCCCCAACCCAGTTTCAACTCTTCCAACCTCCAGTATGTTCGTTGAGACTAGAAGAGCAGTAATGTTTATTGACAGCATGCCCCTTATTGGGTGACATTTTGGGGAATGTCCTTGATGAAGGACTAGATAAGAAAGGAGGGTACCATAGTAATACTTATTTTAGCCAGAGAAACACTACTGTAACTGACAAAGTCTCAGAAGATAGGATACGAGCAGGTCAAGGTGTGTGTGACAAGCATATTAATGAATTTTTAAAATCTATTTGTTAAGTAACTATAATCTATTAGCTTACTTGATTAGAATATACTTATAATGAAGCTCAGTTCGTGGGTCTATAGCTTCTTAAAACAGCTAGCTGTCATTTATTTTGTGGTCAAGAATTGTATTTAAGGAGTCAGGATCCTAGCTAATATTTAAAACTGTATGTTTCACATGGGCTTGAGCAACAGGTAGAATAGTACAACTCCATCACTACCACCATGAAATAGCAATGCATAAGTACATGCATTATTATTATTATTATTATTTTTTGTAGAGACAGAGTCTCACTTTATCGCCCTTGGTAAAGCGCCATGGCATCACAGCTCACAGCAACCTCCAACTCCTGGGCTTAAGTGATTCTCTTGCCTCAGCCTCCTGAGTAGCTGGGACTATGGGCACCCTCTACAATGCCTGGCTATTTTTTGGTTGCAGTTCCGCTGGGGCTGGGTTTGAACCTGCAACCCTTGATATATGGGGTCGGCGCCCCACTCACTGAGCCACAGGCGCCGCCCAGTACATGCATTATTGATGGAGAGGGAATGTAACTTGTTAATTATTTGCCTTAATAAGCATTTTTCTTTAAGAGTATTTTAAGGGCAGCGCCTGTGGCTCAAAGGAGTAGGGCGCTAGCCCTGTATGCCAGAGGTAGCGGGTTCAAACCCAGCTCTGGCCAAAAACTGCAAAAAAAAAAAAAGAATATTTTAAAATCTTTATTTAATAAATACTTGAGGGGCAACCTGTAGATCCAGGTACTATGCTAGGCTTAGGGATATACAAGTGAGAAAAACAAAGGTTGTCTTTGCCCTAATGGTGCAGGCTGGTAGGAATGGGGGCAGTTAGTCATTAGTCAAGTAATCATACTAAAAAAATAGTAAGTGTTCTGAGCTATAAGAATTTTTAATGAAAGATCAAGATGGGCAGAGCATTCTAGAGAAGAGGTTCCACATACATAGAGGCCTTGTGGTACAAGGAAGTACAGTAGAACCTCCATAGTTGACCACCTTTCCACATTGACCACCTCCTTAAGTTGACCTAATTTTCAGAGACTGGACATGCATCACAGGTACATATCAGTACAGTAGGCCTAATTCCTTATGTTGACCACCTCCATATGTTGATCAGTTTGTTGCAGTCCCTTGGGTGGTCACCTTACAGAGATTCTACTATATATGGCAGTCACTGGGTGGAGGAACAGCTGGTACATCTAGAATGGAGAGGGTGTGTGAGCTGAGGCTAGGGTAACTGGCTGAGGTGATGGCAGTGAGCGTGAAGAGGATCAAGCAGCTAATCCAGTCTGGAGGCTAATGTGACATTCTAAGCAAGCTCCAGTCATAGTTTGGGCCAAAGTTGATTAGATGTATATTCTAATGAAGTATGCTAATGGGTCAGTTACTTAACATTGGTGTCAGAGTTGGGAGAATGACAAGTGAGTTCTTTAGGAAGTAAAAATGGATAGATTTACAGATTGATTGGGAATGGATTCTTTGTGTATAGTTCTTGTCTTGATGTCTACGTCTGAAAGTAGAAATCTTGTATTTCTTTTTTATAGTTCCATAGACAATTTGGAATTACAGATACATAGTTGGTCCAGGATTAGGAACAGACCTTTGTGTTTCATTTTTATAGGTCATCTTTCTGTGTAATGAAGATCATCCCACAAAGTGGAATACAAAGTGGAATTTATGAAAATTATTATGGATCTCAGGAAATGGCCAAAGCTGAATTGTTAGACTTTCTAGTTATAAAATGAATGTTTTCTGCTATCATTATTCATATAAGATCAACCTATAATGAAAACTTGCCTTTTACCCCCCACTCCAGAAGATTCTGTATTACTACTAATATTGGAAGGTGTTGCAAAAAAGGGCTGCGCCATTTGTATGACTTCTCTGGCTGCCTCCTATTTTCAAAGCAAAGGAATATCCAGGAATATGAGACAAAGCAAAATACCTCTTTGGTCTTTGACAAGGAAATGGATGGTCCTTAATTTGTCTAGCTACCCTTTATTATTCCTGGGTTTAATGAAAACTCGGAGTAGAAACTACAGGAGATAATTTTAATCCATTGCCCTCTAGCCCACCACCCCCCAACTCTATTCACTGAAAAAGGCTGTAGCTACATGGAAATCCAGAGACTTAGCTCTTACTCTGGAGTGTCTGAGGGGTGCCTTGGGACATGCATGGCAATGGCAGTGATTGTTTTTTAATTACCATCTCAGAACACTTAGAAATTAAAGGGTGTTTCCTGCTTGTAGAATACTTTCTGAAGAAAATGTTCTATTTTTTTCTGTTGTTTTATTAGGAACTGTTCCAATTGTGTGTCTATTTTAGTAATAATGTAACTGAATTCTACCTAATTAAAAAAAATTCTTTGGAGCACATTTATATTGCTGCCCTAAAATCCTGCAATAAGACATTTAATGCCAAAATCACATTCTAGTCTATAATTCTTTCTTATGTGGGTAATCTATGGAAGCACATAGTGTTAGTATCTTGGTGGTCATAACGGCTGATTCATTCTCTTTGGCAGAATGCCCTTCTGCCTGCAGGGTTCCGGCAAAAGAACCAGACCTCAAAGACCGCCACAGGGCCGTTTGATAGAGAGCACCTCCTTTCCTATCTGGAGAAGGAAGCATTGGAGCATAAGGACCGGGAAGACTATGTGCCCTACACTGGAGAAAAAAAAGGTAAACCCAGAACTTTGAAGTTATTGTGTGATAGCACTTCATTTTTATTTTTATAGGTAAATATGGAGAAAATCATATTTTTAGAGGAAAGTCACTGGTAGCCTTAAAGATAATGACACTATTGACTTAAAATCTTATTAAATAGTTTAGACATTTTATTTATAATTTTCATCAGCTCAGCTGGTAAGTTTCTTCTTTTTTTTTTTTTTTTTTTTTTTTTTTTGAGACAGAGCCTCAAGCTCTCCCCCTGGGTAGCGTGCCGTGGCATTACAGCTCACAGCAACCTCCAACTCCTGGGCTCAAGCGAGTCTCCTGCCTCCGCCTCCCAAGTAGCTGGGACCACAGGCGCCCGCCACAACGCCCGGCTATTTTTTGGTTGCAGCCGTCATTGTTGTTTGGCGGGTCCGGGCTGGGGATTCGAACCCGCCACCTTAGGTGTACGTGGCTGGCGCCTTAGCCGGTTGAGCTATAGGCGCCGAGCCTGGTAAGTTTCTTCTTAATGATTTGTTAATAATATTTTATTGCACAATGGTTTTGTCTAATACTCCTTAGTTCTTTGATGTAACAAAATGAAAGTGTACTGAAAGAAACTTTTAAATACACTAGTATGGGGGCGGCGCCTATGGCTCAAAAGGGTAGGGCGCCGGTCCCATATGCCAGAGGTGGCAGGTTCAAACCCAGCCCCAGCCAAAAACTGCAAAAAAAAAAAAAATACACTAGTATATTACAGAGTGCAAATAATGTTAAAGCACTGTGCTATTCTAATGTCTGTCTTTAAAGTGAAATGCCATAAAACAATTTATATTTTTAAAGACCCATTGTAAAAAATATCCTGTATCCTTCCTTAGTAATCATGGTTATAATTGCCAGTGCTTTATAATCATTACTTTCAGGAAATATTTCTATTTTAAGTCTCTCCCATTGCAATATTTGATCTTATGTATCCTCGCATGGAAATGGAATACAGGTGAGTTTTCAAAAGTTCTGTGTATAATAGCACTTAAATGAAATAGGATAAGTTTCTCAGCTTTCACAGCAAATAAGAGCACAGATTGGCCTAAAAAGCCAAATTCTACATGCACTGTTACATGAGATATCATGTATAAAATATTGGGGAAGGGTGGCAGCATTGCAAAGCTGAACATCACTTCATCCAGGTTCTGTTTTTACATCTGAATTTGTACTAGTCCAGGCAGGAAGAATGGGTTAGGGCCTAGTGCTTTCTCCTATTGAGACTCTGGCTTTTTATTTAGGAAAGAAGCCTTTCTCAAGTTTGGTGAGGCCTGTGACTACCTCAAAGCTGCAAGGGAAACAGGAAAGTTCATTTTAGCATTCCACCTCTATAGTTGAGGAAGGCTAGTGAATGACTTTGAGTACATAAGCCACAAGGTCTACATCAGGCTTTTTCAAAATTGTCCATCACCCCTAGTCCCTCTGTTCTTTCTTTAGATTCCATCTCTCCTTCCTTTCTAGTTGAGGATTGCTACCATTACTACTTGAAATAGTCCAGCTTCTCCAGAGAAACCAAACTAACAGGATATTGGGAGGGAGAGAGAGAGATTTTAACGAATTATCTCACATGATTGTGAAGGCTTCATAAATCCACAATCCAGCCAGCTAGAAACCCAAAGAAGAGTTGCAATACCTGTTCCAAGGCAGTCTGCTGGCAGAATTCCTTCTTACCTGGGGGAGATCAGTCTCTGTTCTATGAACCATCAAACTGTTGTTAGAGATGGTGATGTCGCATCTCTCAGCTGTTTGTGGCTAGAGAAGGGATGAAAAACCACTGCAGAATATTTAAGTGTAGAAAATCACAAAAACAGGTGGAAGCATCTGTTACTTTGTATTTGTCATAGGAAAGACAGCTGGTATATTCTCTCTGTACAGCCATACCCTTAATCCTGCTTGAATAGGAGAGCAGGATTTGAGGATAAAAAAATATCGATTGATTACCTTTTACTAGTCTGAATGTTTCAGGTGGACTCTAGGGGAGTCATTAGGAGTAATGGAGATAGAAGCAGAGAGAGAGATGTGAGAAAAAGAGATGTAAGGAAAAACTTTGAACTCATCTGCAAAATGGAGTGAGTAAAAAGAGAATAAGAAAAACATTTTTAAAAAAAGAAAAATGAAAAAACTGGAATTTGAAGGCAAGGAGGGGAGGGAATAAAAGATATGAAAGAGTACTGCATTTATCCCAGGCTGACCCAGGAAGATGTCTGATAGGTTCTTGATTTATTTATTTATTTATTTGCAGTTTTTGGCCGGGGTTGGGTTTGAACCTGCCACCTCCAGCATATGGGACCAGTGCCCTACTCCTTTGAGCCACAGGCACTACCCTAGGTTCTTGTTTTATAATCTCTGGTTACCTAGGAAAAGATCTTTGAGGATTAGAGGAAATAGAAAAGTAGAGAATTGTGGAAAATAAGAAAATATGATAGAGGTGAGGAATATGGGTGATGATTTTTTTTAAAGTGCTATATTCTCAATATGATGGAATCATTTTTCTCTCCTTTTATATCTCTTTAAAATTTTATTTCTTTAGGTTTTAGATGAGTAAGAAATAAATAGAAATAGTTGAATTAAAAAGCAAGTAATTTTCCATTCACAACTAGTGCAAAATAAGGTCATAACTTGAGAGTTTTTATATATAGGTAAGTTAGTAATTTCATTTTATGGTTTGTGAAATGATTGTCTATAACTGTATGTTTTCCAGAATTGAAAACATATGTCAAAATCTGAGAAGGAGGATTTAATCTTAATTAAGTGAAGCTCAAGGCCTATGTCTTAGGTGAATTTGGGGGAACATTTTGTCCTATACTTATAAAATGTTCTATATTTAATAGTATAGTTAATTGCAAAGAGAAGCCATCAGGCAACTAATTAGGGCACATCTGAGAAAAGATGTGTTAAGGATCATTTTTAAATGCATTATAGGAGAACCCAAAATCTATAGTGAAATTCATCTAAATCTAATAAGCTTATTATAGGGATGGTATCATGGTATAAAATTATCTTGGCAAAGATTAATGGAAATGTCTTTTTTTTTCATCAGCTCTTATGGAAATGTCTCTTATGAGTCTTACTATGTTCAAAATGTTGAGAAAGTAAAATTTAAGAAAATTAAAATAATATAATTTCAATGTATGTTTCTTTTACTAAAAGATAAAATGTTAAGATGTTTTTACCTCTTCCTCTTGAAATTTTGCAAAATAGACCAATACAAGGGTGAAGGATAGTACTCATCCAGCTCTTTCTCATTCCTGAGAATGGTGAAAATGCACAAAACATCGATTATTCGTTCCCATCATATTTGTACATAGCATGTATATTCTGTCCCAAAGACAGATAAGGCATAGAGCACTGGTGAACTCGTCACTTGGAGAAATAATTTGCCCTAGTCTTTAATATTTTTTTTCACTGCCTCTCATTTTGTTTTGTTTTGCTAGGGACTCCTCCTTCCCATTGCTACTACCATGCTTTACCCTTACTTATACAAAGATTTTTTTTTTCCCTGTGTTCCTCATTTCACAGAGGCACCAGAGCATGGCTGTACCTTATACACTACACAGAGGTGTGCCAGCTGCTGACTCACCCAGTATGGGCTCCTCCCCTCCCTGCAGAGCACTCCTTTTCTCCCTGTTGGCCTTGGGATAGAGCCATGTGTGCTTTTTTTTTGTTGTTTTTCCCTTCCCCATCCTGAGAATGGAATGCACTTGGGTTCTTTCCCAAGAATGCCAGATGCCACACCTTAATTTTCTTTCTTTCTTTCTTTCTTTTTTTTTTTTTTAGAGACAAGAGTCTCACTTTATTGCCCTCAGTGCCCTCAGGAGAGTGCTATGGCATCACAGCTCACAATAACCTCCAACTCCTGGGCTTAGGCAATTCTCTTGCCTCAGCCTCTGGAGTAGCAGGGACTACAGGCACCTGCCACAATGCCCGGCTATTTTTTTCTTGCAATTTGGTCGGGTTCGAACCTGCCACCCTCGGCATATGGGGCCGGCACCCCACCCACTGAGCCACAGGCACTGCCCTACACCTTAATTTTCTAAAGGTAAATTTAAATAGACTGTCTTAGGCTTGGCGCCTATAGCTCAACCGGCTAAGGCACCAGCCACTAAGGTGCCAGCCACGTACACCTAAGGTGGTGGGTTCGAATCCCCAGCCCGGACCCACCAAACAACAATGACGGCTGCAACCAAAAAAAAATAGCCAGGCGTTGTGGCGGGCGCCTGTGGTCCCAGCTACTTGGGAGGTGGAGGCAGGAGACTCGCTTGAGCCCAGGAGTTGGAGGTTACTGTGAACTGTAATGTCACGGCACTCTACCCAGGGGGACAGCTTGAGGCTCTGTATCAAAAAAAAGTCCTAAACTAAGGACTTCCGTATATTTTCCAAGTTACTTGTTCACAATTACCTTAGTTTTCCAGAAAACTTGTTCACTTTTATTCTAAAATAGGCTTCCCTTACCTTGCTGAGCACATGATTTTTTATTATTTTGGAGGAAAGACAGACCTTATCCTTTAGTAAGATCATGGTTATAACTTGCCTAAATCAGCAGAATTATATAATTATCAGTGGGCAGTTGGTTTCCACTAAGTCAAGATGAAAACTGGTTTTTGGCAGGGTGTGGTGGCTCATGCCTATAAGGATGCAGTAGATATTCTATTTCTCCAACAAGTGAATTTGTTCTCTTATTTTGTTTTTCTTGTGTCTTCCTTGTTCATTATCTAGTATACACAAGGTCATTAAACATTTGTTTAATAAGTGTTTATTGCTGCTCAATTTATCAGCATTGAGCAGATATCTTGTGTGTCACTGGATCAAAACAAGAATGTTTTTCCAGGATCTTCTCCCTCATCCTTTAGTTTGGATAGTTTGAGGTTTGTATGCTGCCTGACAAGCATAAATCCCAAAGCCCCTTGGAGATTATAGTGGCATGGTTTTCTGGAATAAGGCATCTTATAAACAAACAGTAAAATTATCCATGGCCTTTCAACTCTGTA